TGGAAACTATTCATCTGATCACTCGATCAAATTTACTTGATAAAATCGCCTGTAATGCTAACAACAGCCACTGAATCGTCACTGATCTTCAAAGCAGATTATTAGTTCCTCTCAAACCATATCCATGGTTTCAATGGAATTTTTTGTAAACTTCAAAATTCCGTCGAATTCATGTTATTTTACAAACAACATATAACACATATTTGAAACAATATACACCGTATGAAACGATCATAAAATCACAACATTATTTGAATATTTCACATACATTAATTAATTCAAACAAAAAAACCACTGGTTATTTTGGATGAAAAATAGACCAGACCTGCTGCCGACTATGAAACCATCTAGGTGCGATTCGTAACTGAACATGGACAGTTTTCCAAAGCGTTGCGAAAACATTTTCATTGCCTTTGATGTTCACTCGTTTCGTTTCGCACTTCATTTATCTATCTATNTATACTTAATTTCAAAACCGCTCATGGCTTCGCACGAATGAGTGCTTATAATCGAAAGTAGTTGATTGATGAGGCGACGATCCAATGCATTCGCGTAGTACAATCAAGTTGGCGAATATTGTGAGGGTAATCAAAATTGCGCTGACGAGTGGATGGAAGCCGTATCGTCGTCATCTATACACACGATTGATGCTCGATGTGCGTACATACGATCTGCGCCAGATTTCGTTGACGCCGATCCTGTGCGTCGACGCATCTTCACTTCTGTTCGTTCCCCTCTTTCACAGTCCTCTGCCTCTGGCTTCGCTTTTGCACTCGATTCCCCATCTGGCTGATTCTCTTTTGGGGACTCCGTTTCATCTTGTGTCCGTTCCGGCAGATCCATAAATGCTTGCTTGGAATCACGACGTGGTCTGACCTTAAATTCATTCATTTGAGGCGCCACAGAAACCGATACTGATGAATTAAATCTGACAATGAGATAACATTTCATTGATAGCTGCCTCATGATGCCGTAAAATTTCCAATGCAACAAACTGACAAGACCAAGAGGATAAACATTTTTACTGACACTTCCGAAATAACCATTTACTTTAAAAATGACCAAACCTGTATTTTTTCACGTGTTCTCCATGTTACATTCTTATCAAATATATTAACGTCAACGCTAAGAAATTTCCCAAAGAGGTGTTGCTCGTAAGATACAAATCAACTCCTCTAAGCGGATGAATTCTATGCGAAATTCCTCTTGGTTTCCTCAAAAAGTTAGCAGAAAAACTTCCAGAAGTCAGAAATTCCGGAAGAGTCAGAAAGTCCGTGAAAGATCATCGAATTGTGGAAAATTTCTTTGAGAAAACATTACGCTAACTAAAAACGAACCTTTTCTTCAGCCTCTTCATCCTCTTCGTCTGCACTGCTCAGCGAATTGCTCTGTCTCAAATGTGCCAACTTTCGATGAAAATCGCTGGATCGTCCAAAAACAGGCGCTGATTGCCTGCGTCCTTTGTCCCTGATCTTCGTCCATTCCAGTGCGGTCGCATCGATTCCCTCATCTGAGGTGCACGCCACTGATTGACGTCGGTTCTTGTTTCTCAACTGCGGCGGATTGAATGGTGGTAAATCGCTCTGAAATTGCTTATTTATTTCCATCTTTGACGCACGCTTTCTACAATACAATCGAAGAAACAACTATTTTTTAGTGAGAGTGAAGAAAGTATTTCTAGTTCCGTTAGCAGCATCACGACACCAATTGTATCCAAAAAATAGCCATGAACGAACAAGACGATCAATTGATGTGATACTGTAATCAGTCACTTCAAAGAATGTTTTACTGCAATCAATTGTTCTGTGTTCAATTGTAAAAACAGTGAAGGCTGAAGGGTGCATTGAACATGAACGCACGTGGGTCCGATAATTATTGAATTTGATAGAAGAATCATGAAACATACACACGAAAATGCAACAAATTGGAAGTGCATTCTCCAAATAATANAAACAATTCGCATTCTTCAAATTTCATTTTTTTCCGTCGTTGCGCGAAGAATACTCAAGAAAGTGATTGACTGACTGATCAAATCCACTAGCATCATTCCTTTCGCGATGCTAACGAAAAACAACAAAACCAGCGGAAATCGATGCTACTCGTAATTTCGAGCACATTCACAATATCACGATGGCAATCAGCTTGTGTCCACTTACTTCGAAGAACGTACAAAGGCGTGAAAACGGGAAAATGGAGATAATGAATCAGAATAGTGAAAAAGTCGAAAAATAAGTCCACTAAATGCTTCCAATTAATAGTTCTTTTCGTAATCAAATTCCACTTATCGTTAGTGATGTTCAATCAATAAGATCTTCCACTAAGTTTTTCAGTTTGTTTTTCCAAGCCTCCAGTTAGATTTTTCGAATGAGAAGATATGATATTCATTGTGATCGATCAACGATGAGAATTGCGATGAAGGGCTGTCTTCATTTTATGATGTTTAAGGTAAGGGTACGCAATGGAAGCTCATAATTAATAAGTTGACGTTTTCATCACTCAATAAAGTTGTTGCGGTCAACAATGAAGTTTAAGCGAATTTTGGGCTATCGGATGTGTTAGGGCTATGAGAGGCTGTTGATTCTCTGTTTCAGTCAATAATATGTGATCAAGGAGAGGCATTAAAGCACTGATGGAAACGCTGATCAAGTACAGTTTTCGAAAGCGTCACTAAACGGGATTTATTCACACAGCCGTTTGCATCCAATACTGAACAGTGATCATAGCAACAAGAAAAACTGTTTCTTCAACTCGTTTTTCGACTGAATCGCCTATACCAGTTTGTTGAATATTCAAATGCATTGAGTGCGCTTGAAAAGTATTTTCCAATTTCATCGGACACGAAAAACTAGAAGTGAAGCTGTTTTAGTAAGACAATTCATCTGTTTTGAACGCTACAAATCATGGAGTATTTGACGTGAAACTATAATCATTGAGTGGAATGAGTGTTTTTGTTGATAAAAATGACTGTGTTCAACAAGCTCAATGAATGATCGATTAGCTGTGAGCATTCAAGAAAAATCTTCTCATTTTGAGGAACTGAATGCAAAATTTTGTTTTTGAAAGATTCTTTGGTGACCTTCTGAATGAACCGTCATTAATTTTCGAGTGGCAACAAATTGTTTTCTTCAACTGTTTTGGAACATTATGAACGATGGCTTTACTTTGCAGTTTCTGGTTTATTACGATAAAGTTTTCGAAGTATTGCCACTTCTCGCATGCCATCAGTCGTTCTCTTTTGAAAGACGATAATTGTAAATTTGATTGCTGGAATGCTTGAAATTTGATCTGTTCGCATCAAAAACCATCAGAAAGCGAAAAGTTTCACTTGTATTGTTCGAAACAAATAAGCTTTGGGGTGAGAAAGTGAGGAATTGGTCGATGCATGATGCCAGAATCAAATTTTTCCTTTTCTAGCAACCTTTTTAAAGTCGCTGTTTGATTGGATAGTGAGTAATCTGCGAGAATCTTCTTAAATCAAATTTGTGTCTAAAATTTTGTGTCTAAAATTCGATATCTTTATCATCTGCGTTCTAGAATCAATCTAAAAAAATATACCTATTTTCAAGAACGAATTATTCAGTTAATAGTCAAATACTTCAGAATTTTCATAGCGAATGCTTTGGGATGATATGGGCTATTAAACGGGGGCATTTTGACGAGCGTAGTACGTGTTATCGAATAAGATACGGATAATCAATTTAATTCGAATTATCTCACTGCAACTGTGATACGAACAACCAAACCAACTGATCAGCATTCGTCTCAAATCACACTCTATCTCTAAGGTGAACAATTTGCATACGTATTCTATCAGAACGATTTTTTGTTGATACGATCAGAAACTTTCTCGCATTATCATTGCAAGAATTCAGAACTGAATTAACGAAATTCCATCAAGAATTCAGAACTAAAATCCATTTGTATTGTTTTCTTAGCTGTACTGAAACTTAACGAGGAAGGGATCAACAAACTCAACGAGGAAATGATCATGAATTCTTAAAAATTGAATGAAACTTCTTAAAGTGAATCACTCTTACTGCTTTCTCAATAGGTTCACAATTGAATTCATCACTTTACACTAACTGTCAATCTCTGACAACCGTAGATAAATGAATATTATTATTTATGCTCTAAGTGTTCAATATTTGCAGTGTATTTTCACAATTCGCACGGACTGAAAATTTTTCCATCCTCACAATTTTTACACTTATTGAGAACGTCTAGAATTTTTCCAACTGTAATTCGAAAGTTCCCGAACTAATCAAACAACTAACCCAGAACTTTAACATTCCGACAATTTCGTTCTAATTCGAAATTGACCGCTGAAAGTACAGAAGTGGGTGACATTCCAGTAAGTTCCAACAAGAATAATCGGTCTTTTGTAATGCTTTTTATAGTGCAATGTAACACCCAGTTGAGCGCACTGATGGAACGAAACATAGTGAATCGAAAGTGAAAGTAATTAGTTTCCACAAAGAAGAGCAATAAAAATAGAAATTTAATATGATGAATTAATTCGTAAAATTGTGAAGAATTTGCGAAGTGAATGAGAAAATTAATTGAAGGTCGCACGATGTCAACAGATTACATTCTCTTAGAGTGATGCTTAGTTCCGCATACAATTAGGAAAGAAGTCAAACATCAAACGCTAAAGACGAGTGGGTCATGTGACAATTTGAATTAGAAATTGGTGGAAAAGAGGGAATAATTTAACATGACACTTGAGAAAATTAGAAGAATTTTAGTGAAACTACCGAATAACAACCGATCAAATGACGAAAATTGAGAAAATATCCCCGTAATAAGTTATAAGAAGTTATCAGGAAACTGATAAAGCGTGGATTTACAAGTGTTGCAGTGATCACAAACTTGATGTGTTGATTTAAAGTTATACGCATGAAGCGTGGAAAAGTGAATGAGATCGAATAATTCATATGTTCATCCATTTAGAATGACAGACTTCAATAGTGATATGAAACTAATGTAAGTCAAGTGAAAGATCATGTGTAATTCAAGTTGAAAACCATGAAACTCACCGAGACGCCGACTGTCAGATTCAATGAGTGTCGTCGATTAGTAATACGAGCGCCTCCTGGTAAAGACGGATCTGTGTTGGTGGTGGACTGCGGATTTTTTGCTTTATAATCCGGAGTTCGATTCATATTGGCGAAGTCACCGATTAAATTGACGAATGACTTCATGATAGAGCTTGGATGAATTCTTTCAAGCAGGTAACACACACACACACACAATAACAAGCACACACGTAGCTGAAGAACCGAATCGAAGTTGAATGAACACACAACGACAACAAATTCAAAATGGACCACAAACAATTATCGCCACTTTAAACAACCATCCAAATTCAAATAACCTGTTCTTAAGGTTCTGATTGTTCAAGTGTCATTCATTCATTAGTCAATTAGTCACTCCCTTCGATTGCTTATCATACAAAAATGCATAATGCGCTTGTTGTACAATAAATCATGTGCATCAACATTTCCTTCTCTACAATACTACGCTAACCCAGTTGATGTCTTACACCTGTCACGTCTTTACAACATCTAATTCAATCTCTCAACTATTTAAAAACAACCGCATGTCAATGCAATTACAATAAAGATGAGTAATTGCAAGCAGTTGATAAACCATAGATCAAATGCGCGAAAATACTCCATCTACGCTTCATGAGTTAATGGCTTCACGCTATTTGCGTTTTCAGGTTTGGCCAGCAAGGCTATGAAAGTGTGTGAAATTTTGATAAAGATGACCCGAGCGATCTGAATACTATAAATATTTTGTATTACAATAAACATCGTCCTCAATCGAGAACCGTGCATTCCAATTTCATTGGCATCGGCATCTCGTTAATCTCATGTTCAGGGTCACGAGAATAGTTTGATCAGTGGCAAGGTTGTGATGATGTATGATATGTCATGTGTTTAGCAAATTGACGAAATCATTCAAACATATTGAAGCAAATCTAAATTGCAACATTCCAATCCAACAAAATAAACTTTTGTATTCTCAAACAATCGACCAGCAATACACACAACGAAAGCTTCATCCCCAACAAAAAATGTCAGATCATGGATAGTTCTTAACTATCGCAAAGGATAAAACAGTGGTTTTCACATTCGGATGCTCCATTACCCCTTTTGAAGATCCGGCAGACCACCGTTACCACACTCCCAAATTTCTCAAAACGGGTAATTTCAGTCCCTATGAGAAACACTGTCCTAAATTGCAATCCATTATGATTGCATGAAAAGCTGTCGCCTGTGACATGCTCACTTCAAACTGATTTAGACGGATTCTCATT